CTCTGGTTATGATTACAATAATGGAGGGAGAAAGTTTAGTTCTCCTATGTTCTAAGTAAAAGAATATTATAACTTCGTAGCTGAATGATTTGGAATTTTAAAATGCGTAAGTAACATGTCTTCAACTATGAGAATGTCAAAACTCAAAAGTAATCTGCCCAATCTTTGTACGAATTGCAGGCTTTTAATTGGCCAGATGATGACTAATCAAGTTGGATAAAGATCAACACGGAACACACAAAGTATGCACTTCCACGGGTCATGAGAATAGATGGAACTGCAAAATGTAGAACAGGTTTGCACTTTCCAACTGTTTCTCAATTTACCTTCTATAATGTAGATCTTGATAATTTTATTTGACATATAAAAAATGTTTTTTCTTGATTGGAATGATGTATTGATATAGCTGGTAACGTAATACGTAAATCTGCCTTTTAATAATCAATTGGGTGACATTCTTAATTTGTATACATGGGCATGGCGAAATGTGCTCAGTAGAAACGTTTTTTCCCTACTGTTTCTGTATTATATTTGTTGAAGCACTGGGTGTAATAATCAGATAGTGTTTTAGTACAAGAAGAATTTGTTGAATGATATTTGGACAAGAAAATCAATTACTTTGTCTTCCCCAATTTATAATAAATGACTTTCAACAAAAGCAGTGTCACAAAACATTATCCTCACAACAGATTATTCCAAGAGCATCATGAAGATGTTTATTTGCATTTCTAGTATAAAAACATGAGAAATTGGCACTTATCATTTTGAAAAGAACTCTATAGATTGGAATGACAGAACAGAAATGAAGCTAATCCTTTTGCACCTGTAGTATGGTAAGAATGTCAACTGTCAATTGATCAATAGGGAGGAACATCATCAAATAATCAAATGGCTGTTTTACTTAAATTTCTCAACTTGAAACTAGAAAAGAGTGATTTTACGAATCTCACTGGAAACAGTTAATACTAGCATACAATGGATGTAATGCCCTTAATCACACCAGCCTGGCGTTAGTCATATATATGGGTTTAGTTGCTGTTGGTAAAAATACTCACATCATAGTACAAAATGACATAAGAGTCAGGCGTATGATAACACCGTATGCAAAGGACTCAAATCTTGGTGATTATGATAGTATGGTCCTCAAGTTTTCTCCAACTGCGCAACAAAAGTTCAATAAGGTCGCTGATACCGTCATCTTCATATGTCATCTTCATTATCTTCGAGATCTCAGACTTGGAAGTTATCAGACTTCTGCTCTTGGAATGAATCTGGTTCCTGTTTGCCTTGGGTGTTCTTTTCCTCTTTCTCGAATGATCTGAAATCTATTGGGGCATCACACAGGATCACTCTAGGATGATAAATCAAGAAAGCAGATTAACAAGACAAACTGAAAGAAACTATAAGTAGTACCTCGCAGTTCTGCAATATAACTTTCTCGAGGTTAGGAGTGTTCTGCAGAAAACTCAGCAATATATGTAAATTTTGACCCAGATCACATTCATATATGTTCAATGTAGTGAGCTTGTGAAATGTTTGAAAGTTCGCAGATTCATATATATATATATGCTTGTTACAAGGACACCAGTTCCTCTTGCATACAAATTTACACAATAAATCCCATAAGACTTGAATCTTGAACAATCCAATTAATCAACTTTGCATAAATAATTTTGTAACTCCATAGGATCTAACAATAAATAAACAAAAACCCTCAAATGATGATCCTTGTTTTCAATCATTTGCTATGAACAGGGTAATACATGAACAATAGTACATGGGCAACCAAACTTGTTGTCGAAGTCACAGAAGTGTCCATAGTTCTCATGAGGTCCAGGTTTCATGCCATTCTAACCCAATGGATTCGATCCCACCAACTTGCACTTTTGACCATGTTCAATGTCATCTATTTCGAACAATGAATTGCTTCTCCGTAATATCTGATGATAGATATCAACTTGCCTCTCAAGCACCACCACAAATGGTGGACACTACCAGTTGGAGGATAAGACTTAATTTGTCTGCCAACAGTACAAATCGACATAAACTAACTTCGAACACCAAAAATATAATGATCAAATTAACCATAAATATAATTAAATTTTTTCCTGATTAGTTCCATCCAGCACCTAAAAAACTTCCAATATAATGACACTTATGCAAACATGTAGTTAACTTCCATAGCTATGAGTCTTCATGTGTTGGATATTCAAGAATCTAGAAAAATATAGGTACGATTTAAAATTATATCCTTGAGGAAAGCTATATATAACTTAAACCAGGTCATAAAAATTGATTCTTTATCTCCAACTATCTACTTTGACATTAATAATGCGGTAACAATTTTCTACGTACATATTTCAATATAGTTTTTTTTTTTTCAAATTGTTGCATTTACATCGAAGGCATATACAATGCAACATAAATACTAAGCGTGCAAAAAGTTAACTGGTCAGTAGAACAATCTCATGTTGATCAGTGCTAAAAAAAGACGCACATTGTATAAAGCATAAACAAAATTATCAATTATCAGAGCTAGTCACCACACAATCATCTTCTCAACACATTATTATATTTTTATACTCAAATGAAAATACTTATATGTAACTCCTGAAATGTGAACAACGAAAGAGATTATAAAATGGCAATGCTTTGTTGTACATGAAGCTATTGCATTTGAAGCTACAAATTAGTTCTTTCCACAACTATAAAATCAAGCATATCTAAATACATGATTACATGAACCATCTTACTACAAAATGTTATCGTACTGATATGGTGGAGGTGAGTGATCCCTCCGTGTAGGAAATTAAGCTCCATATTTAGCTAGAGGCACCATGAAACAAAATATATTTTGTACGATTCAACAGTTCCAGCTCACATAAAACCAAGGTTCTAAGAATAATGTATAATTTCTGAAATGATGGCAAACCTAGAAAATTTTGTAGTTCACTTGTTGCTTCAATCAGTTGGCCTTTACCCGAATTTAGAGGTCAGAAACAGCTGAGATCGGGAGGTTCAAGCTACACTTTTTCCCCTTACTTGACCACAACACCAACATCAAAGATTCTTGGCATAAGATCAGATTAGAAAATAGGCATTTGCATAAGAGAATTCTATAATTTAACAGCAATATCTTTAACACCACTATTTTCACTTTTGTGGAGCATGGTATAAAGAAGCAATGGAAACCATTATTCACATATGTTTACACATATCATGACACTTAATGTATGCAACTGAATATTCACCAAATAAATTTGTAATCACGTTGTTTTTGTGTTGTGAGCTGAATCATGTAGAGTAGCATATGTATATTCATAAGAAAAATCACTGCATGAGATTGACACTGGATCAATAAAAGAATATGTTGAACTATTAATCGATGCAATAGTTAGAGGCACATAGACCGCCACATGACCTCTGATGGGTGAAACATAATATAGAATATTGGGATTATGCCTGACCATTAAGGTTCATGTTCTTTCTTGACCTGGGGAAGAAAGATTTCAGCTCCTGCACTTTAAAATGAAATTAACAGCTGCATCTATAATTTATTTTAGAATTATCATGTTAATTTAGAGTGAATGTGAAACAATATCTCAGAGTTAGGTATTGTCACCGTGTGCAAGCTTCATTTCTCAATCTTTCTCTGAAGTATCTTTCTTCAGGCAGTATAATTTTGCTGAGAAATCAACCTGAGATAACAACTTGATTCAGCATATTTTTGTCATTAATTATCCTACAATATGTAATAACTTGATTGAGCATAATCATGTATGTGGAAAATTTCTAATGGAAAAATAACAAAAAATACCATTCTGCTAGCCTATATGTAACAATCATAACTATTACGCACCTCCATGAGTTCCTAGACTGAGTGGTAGTATATCATCATATCCTTACTTATTATTCCCAGTCATGACCGGTCTAAAAAATCCTGTACAGGTGGTCATCCTTGCTGACTTGCCATTACTAACAGAGATAAGTTTGTGTTTCACCAAAAGAAAACCATTTAATTAGCACCAATCAAACTCGCAAAAAATTGGGTAGAAAAATGTCAAAATCCAGCTTGTAGAGCATGGTGCCCAAAATTTATTTTGTTCCAGGGACAGAGGGTTGAAACCAAAACACCGTCAAACTACTTTGGCAAGAAGCAAAGTGAGCAGTAGAATAAGAGCTAACCATATAGATCTAAGACGTGGCACCCTGACTGCATACCGGTTAGGCAATAGTTAAATATTCATGGTCATCGCTAAAACCACTACAACCATTGGTGTGGAACTCTAATCCAAGCAAGTGCCTTGATTTGTTGGTTAAACATGAACTCAGAATATCACCACCAGAAAATGTTGCAGAGGAAGATTGGGGGAGAGTAATGGACTCTGTAATTTGTCTGATGGCTGGTCCACGCTGGTCCACTTCTTTTTTATTTTCAATGAAACTGAATAGTGTATCTAGATGTTCACTGACAGGATTTGGAGTGCATAAACTTGGCATACATGTGAGAAATCATGCATCATGATTACAGAGTATAAGTGGATCATACTGTTGGAACCCAACACTAAGTGATCATTTTCATCCATTGTTGTAAAGATCATCTGAGTAATTTGCAGTTCCTTCAATACTGTTTATCGTCCTTGCAAACATCATACACAAATATTAGATCTGTTAATGAAATGAAGGTCTAAAATTATTTTATTTGAGTAAAAATATATTTAATACACATATTATTAACAAACGATAGATAGAAGTAAAAAAATAAAATCAAAAAGTGTGTGTGAGGCACAGAGAGCTGAGCAACATTAAAATTTGAAAAAAAAAATGGAAAAGAACGTGCCTTCCTTTGCAGTATGATGGCACACTGACCAGAAGATGAGTTCGATACTCTTATTTCTCATCTAGTGCATCTGACAAGGATGATGGCTAGTAAATAGTTGAGCAGGTATATGGCAGCAAAATCATTGGAGTATGTTTGTACATAGTTCTGAAATTTCTCCCTTACTCTACGCAACCTGAAACAGAATACACGAAATTTTCTCATGTGGGAATTCCATCAAGCAGCTAGTACATAGAGAGGATGTTACCTGAGGAGAATGAGGCTAGTACACAGAGGAGGCAAATCTTTCACCCAGTAGTAAGTTGAGAACTGAAGAAGAGATCGCTGTGGCCTTGGAGGCGGAAGCTCGGCGTGGATCGAGGGTCACAACGGCGGCGGTGCGAGGTCTTGCTGGTGATGGCGACACAGGAGAACGATGGAGGCGGGCGGCAAGGCTTCGTGGCGGTGAAGGAGACAGCCAGCGAGATCGAGCAGAGGAAGAGGCCGAGTGAATTTGTTGAAGGCGAAATCGTGTGTAGGTGGCGCGTCATCGAGGGCGAGATCAAGAGGAAGAGGAAGCTATCGTCAGAGTGATTGAGGAGGAAGCGACATGCGGATGCGGTGATAGAGGGAGTGGGGCGACGGGGTTAGCGGCGGCGGGGACGGCAGAGGAATCCGTGGTGATGGGATGGGGATTCGACGTGTTTGTGCGTGGGCCCTGGTTTTCCTTGATTTCACCCGTAGGATTGCAAGGAGGCAACTCCTCCTTTTTATATTAGTACTAGTTATCGTGCACGTGCAAGGCACGTTTTAGTATTATATACATAAAAGATAGAATAATAAATATAACTTATCTATGTAGTGCACTTTTTAAGAATAAAAAGTAAATGTTTTATAGATCATGAAAATCATCATTTGAACTCTAGCCTGATTTCTGAGTAGCATGCTCTTTTGTATTCATGTCCACGTAGAACACAACATCACTATAGAATACATAATGTTGCCCTCAAATTATAGCATTATTTACCATCATTAGCTAATGAGACCACTTGGAGTCCTGGAGAAAACAACAACAACATGCCAATGTGAGTGATATAAATTGGTCCGCAAGTACAGAAATTGAACTCAGAAATAAACCAATATGTCACAATATAAACTTCAGGCACATCACCGGTTAAAATTAGTCAGCAAGTTCAGCAAATGAACTCAGAAATTAACCGGCATGTCAGAATATTAAGTTCAGGTACAACCCAGGATAAGATCATAAAATAATATAGCAAATGTTCCCAATTATGTTTCTGAATTGTCCTTCCAATAAAAATTTCAAGTGTTGCAGTCCTTCCCAAATCAAATAAGTTTACAAGATCCAAATCAGAGACGTATTGTCATATACATCAGTTATGTTTGCACAAAATTATTTCACCCCATGTAACTAAACAGTGGCAATTAGCAGATCATCGAGACCTCTCTTACAAGCATCAACTCATCTATTATTTGTCAAGACAAAGCCAAGCTCATAATCCACATCAGGTTATCCTCCAGATATCATCGAACACTTGGTGTAAACAATATGATATTCTAGATATCATCGAACACTTGGTGCAAACAATATGATACTCCAGCCATGCTCCGTAGTCCTCCAGAAACAACCAGGTTCAATAGTCCAGTGAAAAAAAAAAAATAAAGAACAGGGCCAGCAGAAGAATCTGAACATAGTACTCTCAATGCAACCACATTCTACCTGCACAAATAATATTAAGTACTCAATCAGAAAATAATATTTGGCAAGATTATTTGAAATACTCTTGTGCATCAGTACATCAGGTTTTCCTCCATATCAATGAACACTTGGTGTAAACAATATGATACTCACCATCCATGCAACCTGGTCCTCCAGAAACAACCAAGCTCAACAGTCCAATGAATAATATAAAGAACTGGGCCTTCAGAAGAATCTGAACATGGTACTCTCTAATCAACCTTAGACAATCTGCAGATATAATATTAATTACTCAATCAAAATGTAATATTTGGCAAAATTAATTGAAATACCATTAAGTGACAGGAGCAAGTTTTAAAACATTAATAGCAAGTGACAGGTGCACAATTAAATCATTAGATGAGTGAACCTTCAATTTCAGGAAAGTAGAAAGTCATGTCGACATGAATATAAAGAATCTCATACCTGTTCAGAATAAAACATCTCGATATACAATGTTCTTTGTGCTTTTTCCAGTGGGGTCAATGTCTATCCTTGGCTTGGCCAAAATTCTGGTTGTTCCCCTCGAGACACCCCTAGAGAGTGCAACGTAGAGTTGACCATGAGAGAAAACAGGTTCAGGGAGATAGATTGCCACATTTGGGATTGTCTGTCCTTGAGCTTTGTTGATAGTCATTGCAAAACTAAGACGGATGGAAAACTGCTTCCGCTTGAACTTAAAAGGCAATGAAAGATCCTCCGAGGGGTATAATGGAATCCGTGGTATGAAGACCCTCTTCCCAGCATGTGCACCACTGACAATCTCAGCACTAATGGAATAATTCTGAAATGCTCTAATCATAAGCCTAGTTCCATTGCACAACCCGTTGTGCGGGTCGAGATTGCGCAGCAATATGACAAGACAATTAAATTTGACCTTTAAAAGATGTGGCAATCCATTTGGTGTGAGTGAATTCAGGTACTCAAATTTATAGAAATTGGGCAAAACGTGGAATATTTTGTTTCATTAACCTAATTTACAAATCGCTCCTGAAAATGAAGAACAACATTACCTAGTGCATTTTGCATAAGTGGCCATTAACATTTAAAGCTTATACATATTATATTTGAAGGTTGATTTTCGTTTATAGCGTTTGCTCATTCTGACGATGTTATTTAGTATACACACATCAACTTCACTATAGAACAAATAATGGTTTTAAGCTGTACCTTTCTCAGCTCTTCAGAAGATCGATTGCAAGACCTTCTTTCCTTGAAATGATAACGGTATGAAGTTAAAACTTAAAACCAGCAATGAATTCTTCACAGGGTACACAATTTTCAGTCATCAAATCCATTCCATATGCGCCAACTACCATTCTGAATTCCTGATACTTCCATTACACATGTTTAATTCTTAGCTTTGCTTTAGTTCTATCCACTTGAAAACTTATACTATCTTGTTCTGCTACCAACCACCCGAGGAAGCTCTACCATATATACAAAATTGAAATGTTAGTTCTCACAGCCATCCATTAATGGAACCCATCTACAGTCACACAAAAATATATAGCTCTAAAGTAGTAGGACCAGTGAAGTAGTAAGCCACACAGAAGTATCATGTTTACCGCATACCTTATTCTTGTCCATTTGCATTTCTTAAGTGCAAAAGCTTTCAGAAATGATGTCCAATACTAAATCATGTTTTCCTGTTTATTGGATTTTCTTTTGTGCTCCAATTGGCTAAGAAGCAATGTCACCTGAAATGACAAACACTAAATCAGACTATATATGGCCCAATAGAAGTACAGAATAAATATATTTAGATAAAAGAAAATATGAAAAAGAAATTAGTCAACAACAATTGGCAGCAAATGAGTGAACTTATCAACCGTGCAGTGAATCAAATGAAAGACCATAAGGGACGACAATCCAGTAATTGTTGATGATCACAGAAATAAAAAAGAAAAATAAGAGGCAGGCAGCCCAACAGCAACAAACGGGCTTGATATGGCTATTTACCCTGTCATTGCAGAAAATTGCAGTGTAGGGTTTCGTGCATTTTCCATTTCAGTAAGAAAGGAACTGTTATTTTTCGACTAAATAAAAAAGATAAGAGACTAGGCATGGTTGAATTTGCTCTCTGTAAGACAATCTGCAAGATATTCAACATGACAACTATAATGTTAGTATGTATGAAACTGCAGCACCAATCACGTAATATATAGCCTGCAATTATCCACAAAGGTAAAGAAGAACCGAATAACATAACTAAAAGGAGATGCATACCATTAAGCTTGAATAAGAAAATTCAGCTAGAGAACTAATGGGGAAAATTCACAAAGAGGAAAAATGGGGATTGAAAAGAGTCGATTTGAGTTGAATCAGGTATCACCAACATAAGAGAGGGAGGCACACGGCTGGGAGGCCTAGCTGCTGAGTCTATCCCCTTCCAATGGCGGCAACACTAGAGGACTCACAGAGCAGCGACAAAGATGGAGGCTCAGTGTCGGCGGAAGGCTTGACCACCGTGGCTCGACGGGGTGGCATCGCCAGCGGAGCCCTGGACCACTGAGGCACCGATTGCAGGGCGACGACGGAGCTGCGACGCTGGTGGGAGTATGCACAACCAGGGCGAGACGGGGTAGCGGCACTGGTGGAAACCCTGGACCACCAGGATACTGATTGCGGTGACGACGGCGGCGGAAGTGCGGATGATGACGGATGGTGCAGCAGCGTTCAAAGGCGCGGCGACGGCGTTATCATGATTAGGGGAGCCACCGCGGGATTAGCGCGATGGAGCCTTGGTGGTCCACGCGTGGGGAATTTTGTGAGTTGCCATGGCGCGATTTGTGTGGCCGATGGGGAAGACCGCGGCTCCGGCTGTGGAAGGGGACGATGGCAACGTATGGGCGGCGGCGTCCGGGCAGCGGTGGAAGGGTACGACGGCGGCGTCTGGGCGGCGGCGGAAGGGGACGACGGCGGCGTGCGCCACGCGAGGAGGAGTGAGGAGGCGAGGAGGAGGAGAGGGGGAGCGAAGCAAGGGGACGACGGCGGAGCGGCGCCACGCAGGGAGGAGCGAGGAGGCGAGGAGGACCGAGGCGGAGTGGAGGTAGCAGCGACGACGCTTGGGAGAGAGCGTCGGATATGAGGATTTGTCGTTGTGGCGATGATGCGCGACGGATTGAATGCGGCGGAGGCGAGGTGCGCGGCAGAGATGGCGCATGCGGAGTAATCGCGCGTGGACGGTGGAGAGGATAAGGTCGCTATAATCGTTGGAATCGGTGGAGCGAGGAGGATAGCGAAACGAATTAGATGAGATGAGATGGTAGATGGACGGATGAGATGGGAGGAGGTGATTTCACCTGTAGGATTGCTAGACACAACTTATACTTTTTATATTAGTATAGATAGACCAGAGACTGACAGATGTGCTCTCTATGCCCTCCACCTGCTGCTGGCCCAAATATCCAACAGCGAGAGAACAAAATCTACATTAATTTTATTACGGCAAGGAGAAATTCTCTTTGATTACATCGATTTGGTGGACTCATGTAGAGTTAAAAGTACTCTAGTAATTTGGTTGGGAGTAACGTTAATCTGGTTAATTTCGATTAAGAGCAACCAAAATACTGTATTTTCTCTCTGTAAAAAAACTCCAAAAATACATTTTTTTTAATTTGAGAAACAACATTACAAACGTAGATACTCACAATACACATACACCCATATAAACGCACATATACACCCAACCTTTATTAGCACCTCGAAAAGACTGAACTTGTATATCTTGAGAGTGATAAAGTTATCTCTAGCACCTCGTTGTTAATAAGTACGTCGCCTAGAATTGAAAAAAATAATTAGCCGTAAATACGAGTACTCAAAATATATTGTACTCCATGTTCTATCTATTATATGCAATACAACTATTTTCAGTTATGTTATCCTAAATTCGATTGCCCCAATGTGCAAAACTCTCCATAGGATAAACACATCACTCTAATCCTCCATTACCTATGATAAACACATTCATTCCGTGTGAACCACGTCTCATTTAGCCACACATTCACCAAGGCAAATTTGGAGCACTCAAATTCCAATTTTGTATTCATATTCCCATTCAACAAACCCCCACAGCATAATTTAAAATGTAGGCGTCTGTGTTCTGCAGGAAACGTACGTCCTATGCACAATAATTTATTTATACGCGTATATACTTCACGGCTACGCAGACTGCCGTTTACACAGAAACACAACATCGTACACGCACCGTATGTGCTTACATAAGTTCGTACCACTGACTATATATACCAATGCATCCTAGTTCCAATTCACCAAACCAAAAGCAGAGTTCACAGAAGCAGCAGCAGAGCAGCAACCAACAGCAGCTGGATCACAGGTCACAAAGCCTGATCGACCATGGCCATGGCCAAGGCTCTGCTCTTCGCCATCCTCGGCTGCCTCTGCCTCTGCAGCGCTGTTCTAGCAGCTCGTGAGCTGAGCGATGACGCGGCCATGGCGGCGAGGCACGAGAGGTGGATGGCGCAGTACGGGCGCGTGTACAGGGACGATGCCGAGAAGGCCCGCCGGTTCGAGGTGTTCAAGGCCAATGTCGCCTTCATCGAGTCGTTCAATGCTGGTAACCACAATTTCTGGCTTGGTGTGAACCAGTTCGCCGACCTCACCAATGACGAGTTCAGGTGGATGAAGACCAACAAGGGATTCATTCCTAGCACGACTAGGGTTCCTACTGGATTCAGGTATGAGAATGTTAACATTGATGCGCTGCCGGCGACCGTGGACTGGAGAACCAAGGGCGCGGTCACTCCCATCAAGGATCAAGGCCAATGTGGTAAGAAAATTCAGGCTACTCAGATGACATTCTTCAGTATCTTTTATGATAGCGTTTTGTGATGACATCTATTGTGTCCAATGCATTGAACATGAATGATTATTGCAGGTTGTTGTTGGGCGTTTTCGGCCGTGGCAGCCATGGAAGGTATTGTCAAGCTGAGCACGGGCAAACTTATCTCACTCTCTGAACAAGAGCTTGTTGACTGTGATGTCCATGGTGAGGACCAGGGCTGCGAAGGTGGGCTCATGGATGACGCCTTCAAATTCATCATCAAGAATGGCGGCCTCACCACCGAGTCTAACTACCCATACGCAGCAGCAGACGACAAGTGCAAGAGTGTATCCAACAGCGTCGCATCGATCAAGGGCTATGAGGATGTGCCAGCCAACAATGAGGCTGCCCTTATGAAGGCGGTGGCTAACCAACCTGTGTCTGTGGCTGTCGATGGAGGCGACATGACATTCCAGTTCTACAAAGGTGGTGTGATGACCGGCTCATGTGGCACTGACTTGGACCATGGTATTGTGGCCATTGGCTATGGCAAGGCTAGTGATGGTACCAAGTATTGGTTGCTGAAGAACTCCTGGGGCACGACTTGGGGTGAGAATGGTTTCTTGAGGATGGAGAAGGACATTTCTGACAAAAGGGGCATGTGTGGCCTCGCCATGGAGCCTTCCTACCCTACTGCATAGGGAAAGCTCAAGTGTGATGTGGATGATGTATAGGGATTGATGAATAATGTGTTGCTGTGGTTCATACTTTGTTTGTTCAAAAGATATAATTTATAATGCACTTATCTACGAGATGCATGGATAACATGTGTTGGATCTGATAAAATAGGTCAAGTATATATTGTCCATGAGCAAGTGAGCCTTTGCTACAATTAATTAAGATGGCTGGTAAGGTTATAAGTAGAACAAATAACATGTACTGTCATAATTTATAATTCAAATTGTTGAAATCACTAGTAATCACATACACTACTACTTTCTCTGTTTCATATTATAAATCTAGACATATATGTACATATTCATTAATATCTATATGAATGTGGGCAATACTAGAATGTCTTATAATATGAAACGGAGGGAGTATAGAAAAGGAAATTTGTGCTGGTTGGGAGATGACCATAGGTGCCATATTTTCGAACGGCACCCAGCAAAGCAACACCTTTGAGGTCCTAGGAATGAAAAAAAACTGGCTTGATGCCTCGACCAACTCTCCGTCATCACTGAGATCACCATCATTCACATCAAACACAATCACAATCATCACTGAGATCACCATCATCACAAACAGACAAAGAATGACACCATCACATCGACGACCGGGCCAACCCCGTGGTCGTGGCGGTGGATCAGTCCCTGTGTTGACAGTGGCGTTGGTTGGATGGAGAAGAAGAGGAGGAAGGAGGAGTGGTGGTGGTGGCTAAGGAGGAGGAGGAGGAAGAGGAAGGAGGGGTGGCAGTACGATGAGGAGGAGGAGGAAGAAGGGCAGTAGCGGGGAGAAGGAGGAGGCGGCAGAGGATAACGCCAGTCGGCTCGGTTGGCCGGTTTTTTTAATTATAGGCGGTCTTTTAAAGAACATGCACATATAATATCAGTATAGGTATCGATTTTTTTCTAGAATCGGCACCTGTATGTTCTTAAAGATGCCGGTTTTTAATTTTTTTTTATCCCATGAAAGTGGAAAATGGTCAATAGATGCCGGTTTTAAATGAATTGGCAGTTTGGCACCTATGACTATGAGCCGTTTCCTATTAAGGTTTCTGTTGTAGTGTTATAATTTATAATTATAATAATTTATATTTTTATGCTTCTTGGTGTATTTTGTTAGATAATGTCTTGGTGTACTTATGTACCATTAAAATTACTACTGATGCATGGTATTACAAAGCTAACATTTTGGAAACATGTCACCGTTTTTTTATAATATTAATTATCGTTCTATGTAAATAACTTAAAAGGTGGAAAATTCTTCGTAAAATGTCTTATCCCTATTATGATATATACCAGTTATAAGAAAAAGAACTCATTTTAGACCTGCTATGTAAAGTTAATTTATGTCTGCTGAATCCTGAGTAATCTAGCAGTTTGCTCTCCCTATATAATTTTCAAGTGAAAAAAAAATTGTAATTTCCATAACATCTGGACTGGATATTCTCATTAATTAAGAATGCATTCAAAGAATTCTATTCATTTCAAATATTTTGCAGCGAATTCAGTAATATTTTTACTAGAGCTCCCTCCTGAACTCCTGCATTGCTTTCTTAGCTTTATTCAACAAGCTCCCAGCATTTCGCCTGTATTTCTCTTTCCGATCCCCATCCATCGTCACCTCGCTGATGCACCTCTTCCCTCCATAAGGCACCATTCTTGTCCCATTGCACCTCCGCGCACCTATGCCCCACAAGGTCTCCATATAGTATGCAATGGTTGGTTGATCAGCCCATTGTGCATTGCCAAAGGGGCACACCGTTGGCAATCACCTCCAATCCGTGACGAGCCCACTTATTTGAGTAAAAATTAAAAAGAGAAATATTGATTATTCACCACTTGAATAATATTTATCTCTTCTCTCCCTCCCTTCTCTCTCGCTCTCTTCTCTCTCTCTCTCCCCTCCCTTCTCTCCCGCAGCCAGCGGAGGCGGTAGCGGCAACTGCGCCCTCCCCTCCGCCAGATCCGGCAGGAGGGGAGGCGTCAGCGACAGGCGGGGGTGGCCGGATCTGGCGTTGGCGGCGGGTGGGGTGGCTCAAGAAGGGGAGGTGGCGGAGGGCTCGCCGGCGGGGAGGAGCCCTCCCCTCCACTAGATCTAGCGGGAGGGGAGGCGGCGGTAGGGGTGGCGGGCTCGCGGGGAGGTTGGTGGCGGCAAGCGGCGGGCTCGCCGAAGGGAGACGGCGCGATGGGAGGTGGCGCAACGGCTGACCGTGCGACGGTGACGACTGAAGAGGTGTGATTTTTTTTATTGCATAAATTTGATTTGAGTGCCAAAATTTGTGTCGTGGGATGAATGTTGCCAAAATTTGATATGTGGATGATTCCATCTTTGCATGTTGTGGGATGAATGTTGCCAAAAAAAATTTTCTTGTTCTTTCTATTCTTCTGGATGTGGGACGAGGGACTGCTCGGCTCGATGCGTTGGCTCGATCGAGCTAACGCATCGAGCCGGCTTTTTTTTATTCGTCGAACCTAAAAGGTTCTAATGAACCGGCACCTTTTTATTTCAAATCAGTGCCGCCTCCCTTGTGCCGGTTGAGAAAACCGGCACCGAAGGGGGTTTCCCAACCGGCACTAATTCCCTTTTCTGTAGTAGTGATACTAGCTTTGGAAACAAAAGTACATAAATACTAATGTTATAATTCAACATTCAACAAATCATACGCTTTCAAAAATCCACATTGCCACAATTTGTTTATAGCAATCAAGCTAAGAAAAGCAGCAGACGAAAAACTGTGCAAAGAGAAAACACAACAATAAGAAAAAAAGAGAATATGAGATAATCTAACTTGTGAGGTAGCAAGGTCTCGTGCCTCAAGCTCGCAGCGGAAGGGAGTGGGGAGGGTCGGAACAACTGAATATAGATCCACCACCTAGGGATCGAACTACCGTAAGCATAGGGCAAGGCCGTCGTCACAATCTCCGTGCTGACTTCCCGGGCCTTCGTGATCTCACGACACAGTCATCGACCATGGAGCCACCAGATCTGCCACCACTCCCTCTCCTTAGATCCCCAACCAGCGGATCCAAGTCTCCGCCATCACTCCTACTCAATAAGCTACCATTGTCATCACCGCCATTCCTACCAATCAAGCACTATCACTACATTCTCCGCCCCTAACTTCTCGTCGCCCACGTAGCGGAGGAAGCGCTGCAAGGACCAGATCTAGTGGAACCCTGAGCAGCCCCGAGATTTGGGTTTTAGATCTGGTCCTTGCATCGCCCCTCCACTGCGTCGAGGAGGAGGGAGGAGCAAGAGAGAGGAGGCATGCAGCGATGTTTGGGACAGCAAAAGGACATCCCCACGGTAGGGTTGGGGATACAAGTGGGAGAGACATCGGTAGGCAAACAGTTCTCCTCCCCCGCGTAGTGGAGGAAGCGCTACAAGGACTAGATCTGGTGGTAACCCTGAGCAGCCCCGAGGTTTGGATATCAGATCTGGTCCCTGCACCGTCTCCTACACTGCGTCGAGGAGGGAGGAGCAATAGAGAGGGGGCATGCAGCGATGTTTGAAAGAGCAGAATAACATGCACGCGGTAGAATTGGGGAGGTGAGGAGGGGGAGGCATATCGGTGGGCAAACGGTCACATCAATGGCTGTGGAGAGCGAAAGGATTGTTGTGTCAACGTGTGAGAGGAAATGTAGAGATATATAGCTTCTGCGCAAGAGCCAAGCTTAGACTTATGTATGCACGCGTTGTGACCTGCCTTGACTGTTTTTACCATCGGTTAATTAAGAAAACAAGCACCACTGTCTATTTTTTATCATGAACAAATAGGAGTATTTTTATATCACAATGAATTCATTAATAAACCGGCCTGAATAGTATCATTAATAAAACTGAGAATGATATAATTTCCAGAAACAACATTAAATAATCCGGCAATGACAATGAGGCTCCGGTTGATGGTTCTGTGCGATAGGGTAGTTACGCAAGATTGAAGTCTCAACATTTTTAACCATATTATTTACATGAGTTTTTCCTTGTGCTATTTTTTAGCTTTGTATAGTATGGAAACTTGTACTCCCTCCGTATTTTAATGTATAACGCCGTTGACTTTTCGACTAACGTTTGACCATTAGTTTTATTCAAAATTTTCGTGCAAATATGACAATATTTATATCATGCTTAAAGAACATTTGATGATGAATCTAGTCACAATAAAATAAATGACAATTGCATAAATTCTTTGAATAAGACGAATGGTCAAACGTTGGATAAAAAGTCAACGGCGTCATACATTAAAATATGGAGGTAGTAATTAGTAGGAGAGAGATATTTTTGTAATGGCGAGTTCTAATAGAAAGGATGGATTAAGTGGAGAACATAAATAACAGTTTGTCCGGTGGAGGAAAATAAAATGCACATGTATTCTGTAATTTAGAAAGACATAACCCCATGTGCTCCCAAAGTATGGAAACCTTAAAGAATTATTTTTTTTATCCCGATATGTCTATGCTAGCTTGTTGTCCTCGACGAAGACATAAGCTAATTACACTTCAGGTCAAGTTTGGCGTAGCTCTAGATACGAGATTTCTTAAATATGGTCGTACCTGCAAATCTATGGATCGGTGATTACGTAAATAATATTTAGATTAATCATTTGTTCCTATTTTAGATGAAATAAGAAATTTTAAAACAGTATAATTTGATATAGAAACTTCAAATTCAGAAGGGATTTGGGGTCTGGAGTTATGCTAGACATGACCTTCATTATGAAATAAAAATTGTAAGTAATATAAAGTACCATTTTACACAGTCCGTAAACTTAATTTACTTCTGCTGAATTATGGAAAACATCAGCTCCTCGACCTCCATGAACTTTTCTAGGAAAAAAATTATTCATAAGCTAGAACATCTCTAGGCTAATAGCCATTCTCACTGGATTTTTGTCATTTCGAATACTTCGCAGCAAATTCAGCAATATTCTTGTCAGACCTTCCTCCTTCCTGCATTGCCTCTTTAGCTTTCTTCATCAACCTTGCAGCACTCGGGTTTCTGAGTTCCAGAGTGCTTTTGTACTGGGACGACTGATAATAGATAGCGCCCTAGTGGCATATGAGTGCCTTCACTCCATTAAGAAGCAACACTGCAAGAAGCCTTTCTTTGCTCTAAAAGTGGATATGATGAAAGCCTATGATCGTGTTGAGTGGTCTTTCCTGCATGGATGTCTTTTGAAGCTGGGCTTCGCTGATCCTTGGATTCAAACTGTCATGCGATGTGTCACCTCTGTAAGGTATGCAGTTA